CTAATTAACAATTAGGAGTAACATCATAGGGATAATGCAGTCACACCCTCTCCCCAGAGAACAGACTGGGCCTAAGGAGAAGGATAGCTTTTCTACTTAGGATCAGCGGAGGCTCCCCAAGCTACTCCAGAAGGGATATTTCCAGCCTTCCCACCCCTTGTCCCACAGGGACAAGGCATAGCATCGTTCCCCTGCCTTAACCAAGCAGAGGGCAGGGAGAGGAGTATTGGTGGTATTTTTCTGGGCACTGCCCCATGGCTTGCGGGCAGCTTCATGTCTGGGTCTACACTCTCCCATTCCCACCCTGTGTTTGTCCAGTCTCTCTCTCTTCCTCTCCTGGCCCTCCTCTCCCCTCCTTCTTGGCCCTGGTCTCTATCCCCAACTTCATTGCCTGGCTCTGGGCCTGTGGGGGTGGCAGGCCTTAGTGGTCAGACAGATCTGCCAGGCATGGCCAGGCTGGTGGCCAGTATCTGCAGTTGTATGCAAAGGGAACTGAAGTGGAAAGAAACCAGGGGTGGGGGGGTGGAGTGGTGAGGGTCCCAGGCCAGAGGCCAGAACAGGGTTCCTCTCTCCACCCCCGCTGAGCCTGGCCTGCTCCTTAGATGGCAGCAGCGAGGGCTGTTATTGCTGGAGAGAAGCCCATCTGGCACTCACCCTGCCTCGGCCCCTGGCCAGCATCCACACCCCTCCAGGGCCACCTCCCTGAGCAGAGATTGTTACTGGGTGCCAGGGCCCTCTGCTGGGCAGCCTAGAAGCCCCAACTCACAGGGGCCTGTGCCTGGAGGTTTCCTAGTCAGGCCCAGGCAGTCCTCCTCATCCTCTGCCCAGTTTTGTGGCTTTCTCCCTCTCTGGGCTCCCTCAGGTCTCTGACACAGGAGTGGGATGGGAAGAACTAATCCAGCTGACCGACCCCCCCTCCCCCACACTGAACTGTGGCTTGCCCCAGACTCCCTCCTCCTCCATCCAGGCCCTAAGCTTGCCTCACCACCTCACACACAGTCATATCTTCCGCCAGGACCGTATCCATTTGTGTTCTCTGGAAGTGCGTTGGCTCAGCCCAGAGTTTTGTCACCAGCACATGTCTTGTGACTGTGTGTGTGTTCTCAGTTGTGCTTGTGATTATTTCACCAAGGCCTTGTGGCAGGTCTGGGACTAGGGCAAGGCCAGTGAAGTGCAAAATTTAAGGGGCGCCAAAAAATTCGGGAATCAAGATAAGTAATATTTTGATGCAGTATTTTCTAAAAATCAAAGTTAATGCAAAAAATCCACGATGAACAAAAAAACATCAGCATTTAAAATAAAGACAGGATCGGCCCTCTTAGGGTCAGCCTCACCTCACTTCCCTCACTTCCCTTGAGCGTGGGTACAGGCCCTGTTCAGTAGGTCTGGGCTTGCCGTTGTAGCCTAATTTCTCAGATCTCTGCCCCCTACCCTCTGCTCTGGGAGGGTCAATGACCATGCGTGGTCTGTATGTGGTAGGGGCCAAGGGCAGTCCTCTAACTGCGGCATTCGACTTCCGAGAAAAGTACCCCCTCGGCAAGAAACTGCAGATTCCGACTCCATTGACATCCCCACCCCAACGAGGGCCCTACCGGCCCCTCTCTCCGCCTCGCCCCCCGCGGCCCCGCCTCTGCTCCACGCACACCTGCGCAGACCAGGGAGGGGCATCGGAGTTGTGGAGGAGAGACGGAAATCCTCGGGCCCGCGGGCCCCTGGTAGTCTGCTTGGCCCCCCTCACCTCGGGGTTGGGGCCGTAGCCGGAAATCGCAGGTTGCGTGGGTCTTTGTCACCGGGCGGGAGAGGGGCTGTAACGGGCGATCCGGCGCCCGCCCGGCGCTCCGCGGCGGGCTTTGTACCGCGCGGCGCTGTTAAGAGAGCGAGAAGCGCTTCGGAGAAGCCCGGCGGCAAGGGAGGCCAGCGGGAAGGGAGCAAGGCCCGAAGCGACGGGGGCGGCGGGGGGGAAGGCGCTGTAACCCTGGAGGGGAACCGAGTTCTAGAGGCTCTCACCCCCTTCACTCCGCCCCTCCCCCCAGGCCTCCTTCTTGAGAGGGGCGAGCGAGCACGTGCACTGGCTTTTGAGGATTCCTGGAGGAAGCAGATGGCAGAGCAGTGGGGAGGCAGGGGTCTGGCGGAAAGCCCCGCAGGGTTAGGGTGGAGGGGCGCACAGCTCTGGTCTCAGGTCTTCCCCCTACCCAAGCTTCTGACAGGTGTGGGGACAGGATGAGGGTCCTGAAAGATGCCCGTATTCCTCACTATCCCCCTCTGACCCTACAGCCCAAGACTCACTGCTGGAGGGCGGGCGGAAGGATGCCTATTGCAGGGAAACCCTAAGCAAATTATCCAGAGGCTGAATTGCAAATACAAATAACTATTCTTATTGGACCCCTGAGGGGCCTCCCATTGGGAATGGGGAAATGAAGCTGGTGAATTCCTGAGGTCGCCCCTCAGCCCATCTCTTTAGGGACATAGTGCCCCTCAGGGGACTGCCCACCGGGTCCTAAACCAACAAATCTCCCACCACCATTAGCTGAGAAGAGTCTCCCGACTCAGACAAGGACGTTTTCTTCCTTACCTTGAGGTGGACAACGAAACTCTCTCTAAGAGAGCCTCAGGACAGCTGGGCGGGAGTGTGCTGCACTGACTGAAGTGAGACAAAATAAACAACTTCCAAGAGGTGAGGACTGACAAGGACAATGGAACAAGAAGCCTTGAGTTGTTCCCCACCCCCTTGCCCGGTGAGACTGTCTTGCTGCCCAGGCTTGAATGCTGGTGACAAGACTTTCAAAGGCATCCCAAGAATTCAAAAGTATTTATTGAGTAGCTGCTGCATGCTGGACTGGGAGACGAGGGTGTGAGGGAGGGGAGGGGGAGCACAGGACCGATTCTCTGGGGAATCAAGGTCTTAATTCTTTCAAGGTAAATCCCCAGTCTGGAAAATAGTCTGGATTAAAATCTTGCCTCTCCGCTAAATTGTCAATTGTCCCTGGGATAAGTATTGTCCCACACTGGACGTCCAGTCCCCATTTGTCTGGGGGTGTGGAGAGCAAGGGAGAGTCAGTTCCTCTCCATGCCAGGGCCCGAGGCGATTAGGATGGGTCTTGGGAGGAATGCAGGCAGGGAGAGGTAAGGATCAGTTCTCTGCCGATGCAGGACATCGTTGCAGTCATTTCTGCTGGGAGCCCGGGGACATGTCTGGGTCAAACCCATCTCATGCTCAGTCCCGCACCATGGCTAATGTCCACTGGACAGGCTACTGTCAGTGATGGTGCCAGAACTCTTACTCCAAGAGAAAGCCTTTCATATCTGCTGCTACCGGGACTTGTGGCCTTATTTTTGCGGAGCTAACCTCTCCCTCCTCTCCGGGTGGGCCACTCTGGAGGCCTCCCCAGCATCTGGCCGGTGTCTCTGGCTGAGGATGAACAACAGACAGCCCAGCAGAGCCTCTCGTATGTCCTGGGAGCCCAGGCGGTGAGCCAGCCGGCGCAGCAGGGGCAAGAGGTGCTGGCGGGCCAGACGGGCGGCAGGCAGCAGCAGGCGGGACAGCAGCATCCGAAGCAGCAGCGGGAGCAGTGGAGCAGGCATGGCCGGGTCAGTGGCTTTGAAGGCAATCCAGATTCTAGGCTTTCCTGTCCTGCTTCCTCCTCACCTGGCAAAGACATGGGGTGGGCAGGATTCCCCCCACCACACACTTCGGTTTATACCCTCGTGCTCCCCACACCTCAATTCACAGGTCACTTTTGCTTCCCTGGAGCCCTTTTTCTTGGCAAGGTAGCCGTGGCAGGAGAGTTCTCACTGTAAAGCTGGGACTAGGGCCTCCAGGGGCTCCTGCTGTTCCCTGGACCCTCCCCTCCTCTAGTCATCTCCTGCTTTTGCACACCTTCAGCCTCCTGACATCCTCCATCCCTTTTCCCTCAATCCTGCAGGAGTTCTTCCTCAGACAATTTTAAGTTTTCTTTTGCAGGCCCTTGATCCACCCTGATTTGACACTTCTTACCTTCCCCACTCCCCACCCCCATTCATGGGCAGCAACTCTCACCAGTCAGAACCACTGCTCAGAAGCAATCTCTGGCTGAATTTGCCTGCCGGGACACAGCCCTACAGGACACTCAATACACAGGGCTGCCCCGCCCAGCTCAGCCCCACCCAGCATAGCTTGCCGGGTCAGGGGAGCAAGGAAGAGACAGCTGTGTGTTGGCACCTGGTATACGGAGGGAAGGGGGCAGTTGGGCTGCAAGAAGTGGAAGCAACAGGTGTAAGAATTCTCCCTGCTGGGTGCAAGCCTACCAGTTGGAACTCAGATTGAACTTTCTAATGATGTAACCGTAGGCACATTGATTCTTTAAGGCTCCAGTCACCTCCTCAGTTACCTCAGTAACTGGGAATAGCTGGGAGGAGTGATTTGAGTGGAATGTGTATGAGACTCACTTAGCCAAGCCTCAGAAGCAGTAAGACTATAGCCCAGGCACCGCTCACAGTGGCTGAGACAGGGAGAAAAGGACCTGGGCAAGCATTTGGGGGTCCTCTCCTGGGCTAGACTAGTGGGATCACAGTCCATCTCATAGCTGGGCCCAATTGGACAGAGCTGGGTGGCACTCCCACTCAGGGATGGGAAGAGGAATACCCACTTCAGGACCCTCTTCACCTACTATTTTCCCCCGGGGTTCAATGAAGTTCCATATGGTAGCAAGATATAGAGACAGCCTGGGTTTGTTTTGTTTTTAAACACTTGATTCTCCTACTTCATAAAATGGAAATAATTTCTGCCTTGCTGAACTCACATGAGGTAATGGCCTTGAACGGTTTTGTAAACTTCACACCCTTGGGAATATGATCATTTATCCACCAGCCACCTCCATTAGCATCATCACATCTCCAAAACCATTGAACACTTTGAATAAAGAAAACAACCATCAAAAAGGCCTGTTCCACTTCTACCTGGATGAAGCAGGGGAGGAGGTAGGAACTGGAGTATAAATATATAAGCATCGTCTCCGTCGCCTTCCAGTTCCTTCCTGAAAAGATATGGCAATGTGTCATCTGTTGGCCATGGGCAGGATGTGTACTGAGTACACATGCAAGCCAAGCCTGTGAGTTCATGATCTCACACAATTCTCACTAACACTCTGCAAGGGAGCGATTATAACCATTGTACAGATGAGGAAACAGGTTCAGAGTGGTTAAGCAATTTACCTAAAATCACACAGCAGATACGTGGTCTGAATCTTCTCACCAAACCTGCTCCTCCCTCAGGCTTTCTCATCTCTGTAAGTGGCAACTGCACCTTTCTAGTTACTCTGGCCAAAATCCTGATAGTTATCCTTGACTTCTCTCTTCCTATCACAGCTCACTACCCACATTCGTAAATTCAGGTGGCTCTACTTTCAAAATACTCAGAATCTCACCACATCTCACCAACACCACATGACTACCTTCGTCGGAGCTTCCATCACCTCTTGCCTGAATTATTGTAGTAGCCTCCTAACTAGGTGTTCCTGTTACTCTTTTCCACACAGTGACCAGAATAATCTTTATAAAACATGAATCATATCCCGTCTTCTTTTTTTTGGGGGGGGGGGGGGGGGGGGAAGGGGAACAGTGTGTTTTTCCAGGACCCATCAACTCCAAGTCAAGTTGTTTCAGTCTAGTTGTGGAGGGCGCAGCTCATCGGCCCATGCAGGTATCAAACCGGCAACCTTGGTGTTGTGAGCTGAGCACTGCGCTCTAACCTACTGAGCTAATGGGCCGCCCCAATCCTGTCCTCTTTTTGCTCAAACTGTCCACTGACTCCCATTCACTCAAAGTTAAAGCCTTGAATTATGACCTACGAGGTGCTAAATGGTCTTACCTCCCCTGGCTTCCTGATTCAACTTCTATAGATAGTTCTTTTCTCTCTCTGTCTCCCGCTTCCCTCCCTCCCCCCAGCCACACTGGCTTCCTTGCAGCAACTTAACTGTCAGACATACTTCTGCCTCAGGGCCTTTCCACCTACTATTGTTTCTGCTTGCAAGGCTCTTTCTCTTACCTCCTTCAAGTCTTTGCCCAAATGTTACTCATCCATCCTATTTAAAAGCATACTCCTGGGGGCCGGCCAAGTGGTTCAGTTGGTTAAGAGTTGGCTTAAGAGCGTGAGCTCTGAGCTCTGAGCTCGGGGCTGCCAGTTTGATTCTCACATGGGCCAGTGGGACTGAACTCGGCATCTTGAGCTGAGCTGCTGCCCGAATGGCTCATTGGATAGAGCGTGCACTCTTAACAACAAGGCTGCTGGTTCGACTCCCGCATGGGATGGTGGCTACACCTACCCGCAACTAAGATTGAACACAGCACCTTGAGTTTAGAGGCCACGAGCTGCTGACGGGAAGCCAGATGATGACTGGTACCCTCCACAACAAAGATTGAAGAACAACAACTTGGCTGGTCCCCTTCCTCAATTTCCCAACACTGTTCCCCTCCCCCCAATTTCCCAATAAAATCTTTAAAAAATAAATGAATAAATAAATAAATAAATAATTAAATAAAATCATACTCCTTCCACCCCATCTCCTGCTGCCTCCTCTTCATCCCCTCCTTTGCTGTCCACAGCAAATCATCGTCTGAAATGCTATATATTTTATTTTACTTCCTTATCTTGTTGATTATCTGCCTCCCCCACTAGAATATAAACTCCATGAGTGTAGGGACTTCCATCTTTTGTCAACTGCTGTGTCCCCAGTGCTTGGAAATAAACATTTGATACAAGAATAAATAGGGGCTGGCTAGTGGTGCAGTTGGTTAGAGCGCAAGCTCTGGGCAATAGGGTCACCAGTTTGATTCCCACATGGGCCAGTGAGCTGCGCCCTGAGCTGAGCTGCCAACGGAAAGCCAGGTAGCACAGCTGGTGAGAGAGTGTGCTCTTAATAATATTGCCAGTTCGACTCCTGCATAAGATGGTGGGTTATACTCCCCCGCAACTAAGATTGAACACGCCACCTTGAGCTGAGTGGCCGCGAGCAGCCAGATGGCTCAATTGGTTGGAGCGCATGCTCTTAATAACAAGGTTGCCAGTTCGATTCCTTCATGGGATGGTGGGCTGCACCCCCCCCCCCGCAACTAGATTGAAAACGGCGACTGGATTTGGAGCTGAAGCTGTGCCCTCCACAACTAAGACTGAAGGACAAGTTGACTTGGAGCTGATGGGTCCTGGAAAAACACAATGTTCCCTTCCCCAATTCCCCAACACTGTTCCCTTCCCTAATTTCCCAGTAAAATCTTAAAAATAAATAAATAAATAAATAAGAAAGAAAGAAAGTTTCTGTGGTGGGATTCACACCCAGGCTTGCTTGCTCCAGAGCCTGTGCTCCTGAACCTCATAATTTCATGGCTCCGAACACACTCCTAGGGTGCCCCTATGTGTGAGAACCCTGCAGGTCACATACAGCTGGAAAGAGCTACATGGAAGGGAGGAACTGACCATCCTGAGACAAAGGGAGGCCAAGTCAGTCCTCAATGGCTCCTTCTGGGAATCTCTAGAGCATGTAATTTCCAGCAAACCGTGGAGGCCCCACCAGGCGCCGGCCCAGATCGGCAGTTGCTGTGACCTTGGGTAACTTACACCCCACCCATCCCAGCCTAGTTTCCACAGCTGTGGGATCTTTTAGCTGTGAGATTCTTGGACCCTGGGCTTGGGGACAGTGAGGAAAGTATGGGAAACAGGATGTGGTCTCTGAGAACAATGGGGAAACTCCAGAGTAGTTTGAGAAGGGAGATAAGGAGGGGTGATGCCTGAGTCCAAGGCTGGGATCTAGTTATAGTTTATTCTTTACCCCCACCCCCTCCCGGGTTGAACTCCCCTCTCCACCTCCTCTCCACCCTCACCTGGGATTAACCCCACCCCAGCCCCCTCGGCCTGCCCCAGACGTTTTCTCTGTGGCAGAAAACCAAGGGCTCTGCTAAGGTTATCCTCAGCCTTGTCTGGAAAGATAACCATCCTTTCTGGCAACGAAGCTGCTGTGGAACAGTTCCTGATAAGCCTTGTGTAATGGATTCTGCCCTGACCTCTACCCTTCATCCTCTGCTGGTCAGGGAGGAGCCCGGCAACTTTGAGGAAATTGGCCAAACCTCCTGTTTTTAAAAGTCAATTTTTAAAAAGTATCTGGGGACCGACTTGCGAAGTGGAAACCTGTTGACTGGGTTCTTGTGAGACCTGGGACCCCTGGGCCTCCTGCTTCCAACCCCGCCCTGCCACCTCTTTCTGCTTGTCTCATCCGAGCATTCAAATTACTCTACAACCTGGCTACCACCTCTGCTATGACCTGCACAGGGAGGTGAAGAGAGCTTCTGTATTGCCGGCTCAGGTCTGGATTTACATGTTGGGACCCTGTCTCAGGGCTGCTCTGGCTGCCTGAGCAGACTACACTGCACAACCTGGGGTGGGGATGACACCCTCTGGAGTTGTGCCGTGGGGTGGTCCTCTTCCTTAAAACGGTAACGGTCATAACACCTACCTCTGACAGGATCAAAAGATGAGAGAATACTAGGTCCAGAGCTTGGCTCCTAGAATGTGTCCAACAAAGAAGAGCTTCCTCCTTCCATCATTTTGGGTTTTCCGTCTTAGTACACCCTATGGTCAGCCCAAGGGGCTGCTCCTTGAAGACTTGCCACTGAGAGTGGATGCTGGGGCTCAGTTCATGCTTGAAGAATTGATGGAGCCCCTGGGTCTTAGCTCTGTTATGTTTCACTGTCCTGTTGTCCCCTCCAGGGGATCAGCATTAGCCTAGAGCATTTCCTGGTTATGGGAGGTTGAGGATAGTGCTGACCTCCATGCAAGGTGTTCTGAAAAGAGGCCAGGAAGACCTCATGGAGGGAAGGGAGTGCTGAGAGGCCCAGGTGCCCAGGACCAGGTACAGAGGCTGGCCAGGTATAGGAGGTGTCAACGGGGAAGGCAGAATACTAGCCTGGAGGAATCGGGAGTTCAGCCCTGTCACCCATCACAGCGACAGTAGTCCTGAAACTACCTACCTGAGTGGAGCTGTTGGGAGGACCTGAGGCCCAAATGTGAAGACAACTAAAAGAACACTTTGCGGGCCGGCCGAGTGGCGCGATGGTTAAGAGCTGGCTTGGGATGCCAGAGGGCCCCGGTTCGGATCCCACATATGAGGGCCAGTGACACTGCCCTC